AATTTATATTTGTATATTTGTAGGTGAGTGATCGAGTGTGTATGAAAGTATTAGAATTAAGTTTGCATAAGTATGTTCTGTAAGAAATATATATGTATATATATACATACATATGTACATATGAATATAGTTTATATGTACAACAATTTTAAGCAAAAGCTGGATACATAGATACAAATGTATGTACTTGTGTACCATGCAGTTGCATCTAGAAATTAATAAAACAAAAATTAAGAAATTTACATACATACGTAGATGTTGTTAATAAGTGCTAAGGGTCGTTAACTTATCCTTTTTTAAGTATAGCTATATCAATTCCATCGAAACTTCTGTAGTAAAGTTTAACTATTTATTGATTTAACTATATACTTTAAAATAGATAAGTTAACGATCGTAAGTGTAATAAATAATATCACCGTCCGTTACGATTTTCCGCCCATGAAAAAAATCAAGCATTTTCGGAAAGGAGAGACAAAAAAATAGTACCCGTAGATCAAGTCATTTACGGTTTCTATGGGGAAAAAACAACCCTTAAAATCCCTATGCTGAATGGGTCAGTAGAAAATTGCCTATAGTTTCCTCTCTTTAATGATTTTTGCTCTCGAAAAGGTGTAAATAGTTCATTACTGAAAATATCAAGATTACCGACAAAAACAGCCTTTTTCTCAGAAATCGTCACTTGATATTTTGCAAAATAACTCACAAGATTACAAACTGCATTATAAAAGACAAAAAAAATAAAAAAAATGGTAAAATCAAAGCTTCGCATTGAAGAGGAGTTATTTTTAAGCGACTTCCAAAAAAGGAGGAGGTTATCAGTTCGTCGGAATATTTTTATTTTGTTTATTTTTTTTTTATTTTTTATGTATGTTACCGCATAACTTTGGACCACGATCATTGGATCATGATATATATATATATATATATTTAAGTCGGGGTTTTTTTTTTGCTAAAAATTACTTGTTACTATATATTAAGTTTATCGAACATGCAATCACAAAACTCAAAAGCACTCACTTTTTCTTTTACTTTCCATATTTTGGTTAATTTTTTGCATAACCATTAACTAAAATATTAATTGTTCGAAAATAGCAGAACCCAAAACCTATCACAACACTTCGCTCGCGAATTCTGAAATATTGAAGTCAATTCTGATATACCGGTGAATAGAATAGATTTCCGGAATGTACACTTAATTAAGTTTTTCTACCAGCTTTAACAAGGTATCTATAAACATCTTAAGGAACACGTTTTTTTAGTAAAATTGTCAAGTAATTAATTTTCCTTAATGTGCATAAAAATATCTGGTACCATGGTTGAAAGTGAAATTTTCTGCTTACACTGTGTAAAGAGACAAAAAGTACTATTAGAAATTTGGATTTTCGGAAATCAATAACTGATTTCGAAAGTCTCTTTAGATGCAAATTGTAACTGCGCCGCAATCACTTTTAGAAATTCTGGAGTTTGACAGACTTTTCAAAACTATTTGTACTTGCCACGTCTAACAGCTACTTTAGCAGTCTATTCGCTGTTTCTTTTATGCTGTAACTTATCGTAAAGCTAAAGTGGCAATTAATTATTAACCGACTTCCAAAAAAGGAGGAGGTTATCAGTTCGTCGGAATATTTTTTTTTTTTATGTATGCTACCGCATAACTTTGCACCACGTAGGTAGTGTCTCATAGGTGGTCCCATACTAATTTGGTTTAGATCCGATCATTGGATCATGAAATATATAGATATATATATATATTTTTTTTTTTAAGTCGGTTTTTTTTTTGCTAAAAATTACTTGTATACATTTGTTAATGTAATAAAAATACTATCAAAATCAATTAAACTCTGATTAATATAAATCTAAAGCCAGCTGTTTAACATTTTCTATCGATTTGAGTATGTTTGTTTCAAAAACATGACATCATTACATACATAAATATTACTCCAAGGCTTGTATGACATCTTACAGTAGTGTGGTTGGAACGATAGTGCAGCATTTAATTTCATAGGTACATAATTTATTAGTACATATCGCCACCTGAGTGGAAGATGGACCTATCTCGGCAGCCAGTTCGAAAACGCCTTATCTCAGCTAAAAATATATTGAAAATGTGCTGAAAAAGGGCGTTTTTGAATCGGCAACTGAGATGGGGCGTTCTTCAACCAAATTCTGAGATAGAGCGTTTTCGAATCAAATTCTGAAGTAGGCCGTTCTTGAAAAGTTTTCTGAGATACGTCGTTTTCGAACTGGCTGCAGAGATAGGTAACGATATATAAAGTCTTTAAATTATGTCGCCAAGAGAACAAAACTACCAAAAACATAATATCGAGCAAAATTTTTTACATTCCCAATTCGGTTTGAAGTAAAAAAAATAC